GGACCATGATCTTCAAATAGTGTTTTTCAAATTCAATGCATATAATGTTTATCATCATCTGTCATGTAAAGAATATATGCAGAATTGAAGCTAACAGTAATAGTTCATATACATTAAAGACAGTTCTAAACTCCACACTCAGCCTTTTATAAGAAAATAATGTAATTTCCAACTGTCTTCATGAGATCAGCAAAATTCCATATAACTTCCTTCTACCAGCAATGATCTTAAAGTGGGAACCAGCTACATTTGCACCTGTATGGGGAAAACACCTCGCTCTAACCCCTAAGCACCAACAAAAACCGCTAATTACTTACTACTGTAATAGTAAAACATACACATTGCTAGCAATAAAAGCCCCAACCCAACCGCCCCTCGTTTCACGGGTACGAGGTGAAGTTTTGGAGCCCAGCACACCAGAGAGGGTCTCGGTGTCTCCCGCGCACAGCCCGCGGCTGCAGCAGGGATCAATTCGACATTCCCGGGCTTCGGCAGCAGCCTCCCGCTCCCACCGAGAATCTCTTTGTGACAGACACAAAGCCGGATCATACCACGGAGCGATCCTTGCTAAGTTATGGGGAGTTCTCTGCTGTGCTTCCTCCTCCATCTCAATTCATCTTGGCAAAATCTTGGGCGGACTGTGAACTAACCCAAAGCAACGTCACAGCKGATACGACATACAAAGCAATCAGTCAAACGAACATGTCAGGGCCATCGACTCAAGCAATAAAGAACAAGGCAATCCCAGCAGGCTGCGCCTTATTATCCTCACTGCCACAAGGAATAGGCAAATAGTATTAAATRTAAGTGCAGAATTCCACAGCCACATAGTCGTATTTTACTCTGCTTTAAGCATTAAAGGTTCCTTCTGTATGTTTGAGATGCAGAGACTGAAACCAGACAAAAAAAGAGAGGATTTSTAACATCGCTCCATCTTCTCCTTTCCCTTCACTTGCCAATCAACTACTGCCAGTCTTCTAAACCCCTAAGCTAGTGGAACAGCTAGATTTTTTTTTTTTTATATGGATTTTAAAGAAATGCTATTCATTAGACATGCAGTAAACCACAGAGGCCAATTTATCGGGGAGCATTCAAAGGTGTTTGGGGTTTTTATTTGTCCAACAAATGAGAACAAGATGACCACGACCAGCAGYCCGCAGAGCTTGGTAGGGACACGCAGACACGTCCCCATCCGACGCCAACGACCTCTCCCGGCCTCCGCTCCCGCTGCTGGGTCTCACCCAGGGCTGTGCGTTTTAATTATCAGCAAAAAAGAAGATAAAGAGGTTTACGCGTCCCCTTGCTCTGTTCCTGGTCCGTGCGGGAAAAAAACACATCCATGCAGCTGACAGTCCTCCTAGGTGGGCACAATGCCGCGGAGAGGGGCAGCGTTTCCATCCCGCCGTGCCCGCGCGCATGGATCTTGAACCTCTGCCTGCCAGGCTGCAGCAAACAACGTCACTTGTTCCCCGGCATTTGGCTTTTCCTTCCTGGTGGCATTACCCCTCATTTGCATGTTATGAATTCCCGTTCTGGCTGGAAACCTTCTGTAGAAATGGCAGGCAATATCTGCCCTTGCCCTCACCGCGACGCGTCAACGTATCAGAAYGAGGGAGGAAACAAGGAAACTGATTGCAAAATATTAGACTGTTAGTATTCTTTAAGAATTCAAGATCCGCTGAGATCCAATTCTTTAGCATCTGTTATTTTAAGAAATTATCCTATTAAGAGGTTAGAGTTCATCGCATCGATTTGTCTCGAGATGAGATGTGCAGACAAGAAGAAGAGGCAGCAAGAGGAAGGGGTGAATCTGCTCTCAGAGACACMACCCCGTGTCTCGAAAAGCTGGTCCTAAGCCCCCCAACTTTATAATAAATGACAAATTGTCTTTCTTCTTTATTGACTCACTCATTCCTACTGTATCCAAAACCACGGGGCACTTTATAGGCACAAGGCCATAAAATCAACCTTAGAAGTTCTGAAAAAGAGCACAGCAAAAGCCAAAGTAGATTTTTTTTCCAGTCTACTTTTAAAAACCTGTTCCTATTTTTATTCTCCGTCATGAATATTACATTTTCTTAATATAAAGTAATGATTGTGAGCAGGATCTTCCTCTCACATTCAGGTGTATTAACTATTCTTAGTCAAATAGATTTGCTTCTAGTCTTAGTCTTAGATAGATTAACTCRTGACTGGTAGGATTATAGACTTACCTCTGGAACTAAATCACATTTGAATCCGAGTTATAACTCTCCGTTCTTTAAAGCTTAGCTGAATCGCTTTTGGTATTTCCTTTGTATCTTTGAAAGAATGATTAATCATCATGAAATCCAATCTAAGGGCTCTTCCTAAAAACTCCAGTGAATAAACAGTTGATTTGATTTTTATTTACTTATTTATTAAGAACAGATGAGATTTATACCTTTTTTTTTCTCTAAAATAATGAATAGTACTTTAAGTCTAGAATATTTGCCCTTGAAATTTTTTTTTTTTTTGAGTTTGTGTGGCTTTTAATCACATTGAAAATAAAAAACTTTGCTGCTCTCCTCAGGGAGCTAAAGCGATCTGGATCACCCTGCTCCGTGCTGCTCAGCGTGGTGCTTTTGTTCCCTTTCCATCTCTCCAGCTGCAAAAAACGCCACCAATTCTATAGGGACCGAAGCGCAGCACTTGCATACAGCAACAAGCTGACGGCTCTCCTCTGCTGAACACACCAAGCAGACACTGAAGCATGGCTTATTCTTAGATGAAATACAAAATAGTTCAGATAATGACATATAAAGTATTAGCGCCATGAGCAAGTCACTTTTTTCCTTTAAAGATCTCTACACATGCCCACAAAGTAATGCAGAAAAGGCTCTTGAGCCGCTATCTAAACGGGATCACTATTTCAGTTTGCTCCTCCTCCGGCATTCCCTGCAGTGACTTTGGCCAGGGAAGCGACATTCCAGGTACCAGCTGCCCAGCTTCAAAGAGGGCTCAAACCCACCTCGACCTGCTCCGAGGGCTCCTTCAGCACCAAATCTCAAAGCTTTACACACTTCTGCCTTCTTCGGCTGCTGTTCTCCAGGCTTTCTCCTGCAAAGCTCTCATTCTCTGGGATAAGGGTCTAGAAATTTTGGAGAGCTGGACCCAAAGCGGCTACTTAAAGCGCGTCACTACTTCCTTCAACAAACATCAAACATTTTCTAAACTCGCCAACTACGGCAAAACCTCCGTGGTGATAACAGCAAACCCCAGTTAATTGACTGAATCATATATCTGCATGAATTATATATATATAAAATCTGCATAAGGAGGGGGAGAGAGGGAGGGAGGGGGAGAAGAGATTTTCATGCCCAACTCTATTTGCTAAAGTGCAGTGTATGAGGAAAAAAAATGTAGATAATGCTCAAGCTACAAGTCAGCCACAAATCTATACACTTAATACATGGAGTGTTGTTATTATTCAGCTGGAACGCTTTTAACATGCAATAGAATGTGAAATACTAAACTACCTAAAACTAGTTAATAAAGTTAGCCTCAGAACTAGCTAAAAAAATAACGCAGTCCCAACACATCCAAAGAATGAAAGAATTTAATACACAATACAGTTTTGCTATTCGAGTGAAAGGAAAGCACATTTGTGCTGAACTTTTTGGAATGGAAGCAGGGTTAGGGCTATTGATCCCTTCCAGCAGCCCGGGGAACAAAGCAGTGGCAGGACAGAAACACAAGCCAGCATTGACTGCCCTTCTTAAGACAGTCCTTTAGTATTTCCAACTAAAAGCTACTTGTCACTTCATCTGCATATCCACCTCTACAGGCTGCAAAGATCCTTGTTCCATACCATTTTTATTTAAAGCTCCAAACCTTCAATTGTCTTCGGAGGCTTTTCAGTGCATGGGTGAGCGAGAGAACGTAATTATAGGACAGTATTTCTTAATCAAATCTAAGCCGCCCACTGAAAGTGAATGGGAAAATATGGTTGCAAGGCAGCGCTTCTCAATCAAATGGACGGATTTGCCTTTCAGGGTGAATAAGGGAATGTGGCTCTGGTCACCATTTCTTAATCAGCTCAGCTGATGTCCTATAGAAGGTCTCAATGGAAGAACACAGCTGTGGCCCATAACTCTTGACTTGATCTTCCATGGTTGGCCTGAAAAGGCTGAAAGGAACATAAATGCACTAAAGCTTTTCGCCACTAAATTGGTTCTTTCAAAACCCTCGCTGGGTTCACCCAAAGGAAAAAAAAAAAACAAAAAAAAACCCACCACTTTTTCAGCACACTTGRTTAGAGCTGGAGTATAAAAGTTTTCATTATATGTACTACAGACTGAGGTTTACTATAATACGTCAAACTATTATTATTTTCACTTAAAGACAGAGTCGGAATTTATCAATCCCAATCTGCTATAGAGATTCCTATGTCAGAAAATACTTTTTTCCTTTTTTTTTTTGAGGCAGTTAAAGCATCTTTTCCCATTTCAGTTAATAAAGCTACAAAGCAGCTGAAAAGCATGTTCATTTTCAGATTTTTTTTAAATAGTACCTTTATTACACAAGACTCATATTAAAGGCACTGAAACTAACTCTGAACTATGAGATCCACATATTTATTTTTTTGTGCGTTTGAAAATACAGTTGAATTATGTAGCCAAGGTAGTGAGGCAGGAGAGAGAGAACATGTGCGTGTTGTGGAAAGAAAATACACCAAAAAGAAAGTTTAAAACAGCTTTACATTTTTTCTTCCACTTTTTCACTGCAGTTTTCCAAAGGTCAGACTTGCCTGTGAATTACCCATTAATTAGCTAATTGAGGAAACTCAGCTAGCCTTCTTTAGGACATCTATTAGAGTCAAGGTGAGCCCCAGACAAGTTTGCCATTTGCCCACTTTTCCTAGGATCTGTGACCGTGGTGCATGGGAYGTGTCCTGGTTAATTTACGCTCATTCCCACCCGTGAGCAAAAGCTGATTAACCCCACTTAGCACAAAGCTGCCACATTTATTTTGGTGCTACCCCTTCTACATGGGGTAAAGGTATTAAATCACTTGGTAACCCCTCCAGCAAAAAAGCACATCCAAATCTACAGAATACAAAATAGAATTTTTTAATAGAATATTTTAATTTACATTTTGCTGTATACTGTGTGATAGGAAATAGTGCAAATACAAAAACAACTACACGCTGAGCATTTAAAGCCTGTTCCACGGGGACACTGGCAAACTGTTCCCATCTGGTTTTACCTACTTTCCCTTTATTCCCACTTGAGCTTTTTTTGTTTCAGCGACTCCTCACAGCATCAGCACACACAGAGACACGAACAAGCAGCCAGGACGTGCTGATCTATGAACTGAATTTTTAAAAATCTATTAGTTTCCATTAAAGAACTCGTTGAAGTTGCTTAGCAGTGCTCCTGTGCTCCAGCGCAATAATCTGCCAGGGATTTCATACCAATGAGGTTCGGCCTCCATTCACTCGGCGGGAGAAGGGGGGCTTTTTCCCTATACAACCCACCCGCATCGACTCAAGAGTCTGTTCATTGTGGTTGAGTGTTTAGGAAAGGTGAAGTGTTGATACACAGGGCGAGGAACAATAGGCTGCTGAGCATCG